TCAAATACTACTAGAATCCTAGCCACAGCAATGAGACAACAAAAAGAAATAAAAGCCATCCAAATTGGTAAGGAAGAACTAAAACTTTCGCTGTTTGCAGATGACATGATACTATATACAGAAATTCTAAAAACTGTGCCCCAAAACTACTAGAAATGATAAATGAATAAAGTCATGGGATACAAAATCAATGTACAGAAATCTGGTGCAATTCTGAACAATAGCATTTACACTTGCACCAAAAACAACAGATACCTAAGAATAAACCTAACCAAACAGATGAAAGATCTATACTCTAGAAACTATAAAATACTCATGAAAGAAATTAAAGATACAAAGAAATGGAAAGACATTCCATTCTTATGGATTGGAAGAATATTGTTAAAATGTCCATACTTCCCAAAGCAATCCAGAGATGTAATGTAATCCTTATCAAAATACCAACAGTATTTTTCAGAGAACTAGAATAATCCTAAAAGTTTTATGAAACAACAGAAGACCCCAAAAAGCTAAAGCAATCTTAAAAAAGAAAAAACTGGAGGCATCACAACTCTAGACTTCAAGTTATATTACAAAGCTATAGTAATTAAAACAGTGTGGTACTGGCACAGAAACAGACACACAGATCAATAGAACAGAATAGAAAACCCAAAAATAAACCCACAATTATATGGTCAATTAATCTTCGACAAAGCAGGAAAGAACATGCAGTGGGAAAAAGACGGTCTCCTCAACAAAATGTGCTGGGGAAAACGGGACAGCTACATACAAAAGAATGAAACTCAATAACTTTCTTACAACATACACAAAAGTAGACTTAAAATGGATTAAAGGCCTAAATGTGAGACCTGAAACCAGAAAAATCCTAGAAGAGAGCACAATAATTTCACTGACATTGACCATAGCAACATTTTTCTAGACAGGTCTCCTGAGACAAGGAAAACAAAAGCAAAATCAAGCTATTGGGACTACATCAAAATAAAAAGCTTCTGCACAACAAAGGAAATAACAAAACTAAAAGGCAACCTACTGTATGGGAGAAGAGATTTGCAAATGACATATCTGATAAAGGATTAGTATCCAAAATATATAAAAAACTGCTACAATTCAATGCTCAAAAAAACAAATAATCCAATTTAAAAATGGGCAGAAGAAATGAACATTTTTCCAAAGAAGACATACAGATGGCCAACAGACAGATGAAAAGATGCTCAACATCACTCATCATCAGGGAAATGCAAATCAGAAACCACAATGAGCTATCACCTCACACCTGTTAGAATGGCTAAATTCAAAAACAGAAGAAACAACAAGTGTTGGCGAGGATATGGAGAAAAATGAATCAGCATGCACTGCTGGTGGGCATGCAAACTGATGCAGCCATTGTAGAAAACAGTATGGAGGTTCCTCAGAAAGTTAAAAATAGAACTACCCTACAATCCAGTAATTATACATAGGGTATTTACCCCAAAAATACAAAGACACTAATTCAAAGAGATAACATGCACCCCTATGTTTAATGCAGCATGATTTACAATAGCCAAATCCTGGAAGCAGCTCAAGTATCCATCGACAGATGAATGGATAAAGAAGATGTGGTATACAAATATACAATGGAATATTGCTCAGCCATAAAAAAGAATTAAATCTTGCCATTTGCAACATGGATAGAGCTAGAGAATATAATGCTAAGTGAAATAAGTCAGAGAAAGACAAATACCATGATTTCACTCACATGTGGAATTTAAGAAAACAAAAAGGAAAAAGAGCCAAACCGGGAAACACTTTTTTTTTTTTTTTTGGAAGAGATTTTATTTATTTATTAGAGAGTGAGTGAGTGGGAAACAGCATGAGAGGGGAGAGGGTCAGAGGGAGAAGCAGGCTCCCCGCTGAACAGGGCGCCCGATGCAGCACTCGATCCCAGGACCCTGGGATCATGACCTGAGCCGAAGGCAGTCACTTAACCAACTGAGCCACCCAGGCACCCAACCAGGAAACAATCTTAATTACAGAGAACTGATTACCATAGGGGAGGGAGGATGGGTGAAAAAGGTGATGGGGATTTAAGAGTACACTTATCATGATGAGCACTGAGTCATGTACAGCACAGCTGAATCACTATATTGTATACCTGAAACTAACATTACACTGTATGTTAACTATACTGGAATTAAAATAAAAAACTTAAAGAAAAGATCTCCATTACTTTTCAAATGTTATTTTTCTCCACATTCAGAAATTAACTCAAAATGGACCAAAAACCTAAATATAAGAGCAAAGACAACAGAAAACCCAGGGACAACTCTTCCTAACTATGAATTATGCAATGGTTTCTGAGATCTGACAACAAAAGTACAAGGAAAAATAGGGTAAGTTCGACTTCATCAAAATTAAGAAACTTGGGGGGTGCCTGGATGGCTCAAGCATTTGAGTGTCCAACTCTTGATTTCAGCTCATGATCACAGGGTCGTGAGATAAAGCCCTGTGTCAGGCTCTGCAATGGACATGGAGCCTGCTTAAGATTCTCTCTCCTTCTCTCCCTCTCAAAAAAAAAAAAGAAAAGAAAAGAAAACAAACTGTTGGTCCACATACTGTATTTCTGAGTAGCAAGGGCTTAGACCCATGCTCCCATTGCTAGGGCACCATATCAAATTCACAGGGTACTATAGGATAGTTTTAATCTTCTAAGTTAATGAAATATGCAGAAACACTCCACATTTGTCAGATATCACAAGAACTAGTTCAAGATAGCTCAGTTTCAACATTCCTTTCAGTGACACCTTATCTTTGAGAAGACACTGGGTATTTGGCAGCTGCTGAAATGTAAAGCGTGTGCTTTGTGAAAATCAATGTCAATCAGGAAATGAAGGTGGTTTGTCCAATCCAATTCCAAGGTTTGAGAAGGTGTATAGTGGTCAACAACCACACGCATCCCGTCAGTAACAGTGCTTATTTAAGAATGAAAAATAGGAATTTTTCAATTCAGTATATACTTTTTTTTTTCCAAATGGTTACTACACTTGTTAGGAAATTGTTAAGTATTTCATTTGACCTATACGGTATCATAAAAAATTTACTTAGACGCCAGAGGTGCCATGAACTGAAAGTTTGGGAACCTCTGGCTTAGTCTATTTGATAGGTGGTTAGGACCATAGCTCCTATAGCCACACTGATGAGGTTCAAATCCTCATCTGACTGTACCCTTACCAGCTGTGTGATGAAGCAAGCCAGTTAATCTTTCTGTTTCCTCCATTATAAAAGAAAACATCATAATAGTTCCTACCTCACAGGACTGCTATGAAGAACAAATGAGTTAACATATTTAAAAAGCCATGCACTAGCTGGCAAATTGAGAAATGTTTGGTGCCATCACCACCATAATTATGATGCTACAGTTATTGGCATTGCAATTATTAGGGAAAAGGGAGTCAAAAAAGGCATCTAATCTGATAGCGGACCAATTTCTGGTGCAGAAAGGAGATCTGGCAAGTATATGACTGGAGTAGACTAGAGAACAGGCAGCCTCAACCCTGACTCCGAGGTCCTGTGGCTGTTAATTACTCCCAGGGCAGGGAACCAGAGAAAAGGATCAGGTCAACTCAAATCTGCTTTATATATTCTAAAAATTACTCATTAAAATACTTCACTTCCAAGTGATTTTTGTTATTGTTAATGACAAGATTTTTTAAAAAGTCTAGATGTACATAAAAATTAGTTTCTGTCTAAAGTGAAAAAAATCTTCTAATTGCAAAATACAATTATCCAAGGTGCACCTATTAAGAGTCCTTCCATCTCATTACCAAACCTAAGCATGTCAGCAAATGAGCACAATACTCTAACACTGCTTCTCATGGGTTTGCAGGAGGGCAAAGCACACAGATCAGAAAGAACATTCTGCTAATTAAACTGAAGCAGATGACTATGGAAGAGAAAGGCTTGTCACATGTAACATCTGTGCCAAGAATGATCAGATTAAATATGCAAAATGTGAAGTAAAGGTGTGAAAAAGCAGTAAGATTATACTCCACACCTTAAATAGGCTACAAAAGTTCTGACAGTTTTCCTAATTATTCCCAGTAATGGACATAGGAGGCCAAAAGGCAGGAGGGAGAAATACATTTTTCTCCATTATGGGTGTTGAGCACTAGGGCTAAAATCATGCCTGTCTGAACACTGATCAGTTTCTGCAAAGGTTAATAGCAATTAAATGCAGCAAACTAGATTAAATGAGAAACAGGTCATGATACTGCTGTACTTGCAAAGAGCACGATAAAGCATTTCTTTTAAATTCATCTTAATGCATAGGAAATCCAAAAAAGCTGCTATGAGGAAAAGAACTTATTAAATGGTGAAGAAATCTCTTAAATGAAATAAAAATAAAAATGACATGCTACACAAACTAACTCAAATTATCAGTATTGGGTTGCTGAAAGATTAATACTAATGATGTCTGTCATTAACACTGCTTCTTCCAACCTAGTACATCTGCAATCAAAAGAATATAGTAAATTACTTAGTGATAATTAAACTATTTGTGACTATAGCTAATAATTTATCATATATTCAAAAGTTGCTGAGAGTAAATCTTAAAAGTTCTCATCACAAAGGAAAAAAAAAATTTGTTAGTTATATGTGATAACAAATGTTAACCAGACTTGCAGTAATCCTTTCATGATACAAATACTGAATCATTATGCTGTACACCTGAATTAAAGGTATATATCAATTATATCTCAAAAAAACTGTTTTAAAGATTAAACTGATAACTACAGTACTGAGGTCATTCTCTGAACTTAATCTTTTACTTTAGTATAAATCCTAAAGTGTAAGTCTGAAGCATATTAATGGTTGATTTTTCCAAATTTAAATACAAGCAGGTTTTTCCAAAAATTAAACAATCACACAATCACAAAAACACAGTCTCTTTTCCACAAACATAACTCTCTACATGGAACAAAAAATAAAAGAAACAGGCTCAAAAAATAGAAAATTCAATTTACTTTACTATCCTCAGGATCTTCTAAACCATCAGGCCGACTAAGGTTTCGAGCAGGCTGGCTGCAGACAACATTATCTTCCAGTCCCCAAGAAGGTACTCTCAGAGGTGGCCTTTGGATTTCATCTGGATAAAAAGCACCATCTGCTCCATCTGAAATAAAAATTTGGGAAGTGAAATCTGGTACTATAATTAGAATCTCTGTGTATAGCTATGATGAACAGGATATAAAGAACCATTTTTATGCATCACAAAAACGTCTTTTTAACCCAAGTAATTTTTAAAAATAAGAATATATATAATAAGCAAATAGACTACTCTTTTGTGCTGCAGCAATCCTAGATGAACCCAGTTACCGTTAAACATTAAAACTACTGGTTACAAGATAATGTTTCTATTAGAGTTAATTGTACCAGTTTTCTAATTCCATTGAGATACAAACCAAAAAAACTCTGTATTCAGTTAATCCCAAACCAAAATTATTTTAATAACCTCTGGCTTCCTGTGTTGCATAAGGATTACCATACTGCAGAACTGGCTGTATATGTGGCACTGTGGAAACATGACCATTTTGCTCTGAGCATGTGTTGAGACACTGTGAGATCTTTTGAGGACTCTGGGAATTCTGACCTTCCATTTTCCTTTCTGCTTGATCTTCTAGATTCCTTTTAAGTTCCTAAAATTAACAAAACAAAGGCAGAAAGCATTCAAATATTTTATAATAAGGGCAGCATTAAACATTTAGCTAAAATATAATAAAATTACTTCCCTATTATGTTTAAAGAATACAACTGAAAAGTCTGGCTCTCAACTTCTCATAATTGTCCTCTCCGCATACAACATCAGAAGGCAGAATAAAGCCCGATGTATTTTCCAAATTTATTTGTGCCAAGAAACTGCCTTTTTTATTGAGCTAAGAGGAAACTGTGAATCTCTTACAACTTAGTTATTAATAAAAGTCAAAGGAGAGACGCCTGGGTGGCTCAGTCGGTTGGGCGGCTGCCTTCAGCTTAGGTCATGATCCCAGGGGTCTGGGATCAAGCCCTGCATCTAGCTCCTTTCTCGGCAGGGAGCCTGCTTCTCCCTTGCCTGCTGTTCTCCCTGCTTGTGCTTACTCTCTCTCTCTGTCAAATAATAAATAAATAAAATTTTAAAAAAAAGTCAAAGGAGAAAAAGCAACCCAGACTGCTTCTCTAGTAAACTCTACCAAATTTAAAATTTAAAAATACTAATCCCATATAAACTCTTTCAAAACTAGAGAAAAAAACACTTCTGGGGACGCCTGGGTGGCTCAGTGGGTTAAGCATCTGCCTTCGGCTCAGGTCATGATCCCAAGCGCCTGGGATCAAGTCCCACATCGGGTTCCTTGCTCAGCAGGGAGCCTACTTCTCCCTCTGCCTGCCGCTCCCCCTGCTTGTGCATGCACGCTCTGTATCTCTCTCTCTGCAAATAAAATCTTAAAAACAAAACAAAACAAAACCCCACACTTCTGAACTTACTTTATTTATAAGGCCAATACTATCCTAATACCAAAGTCAAACAATGACATCACAGGAAAACTGCAAGCCTCATCCCTCATGAATATTGATACAAAAATCCTTAAGAAATCAAATCCAACAGTATTTAAAAAGATACTGGAGGTCTGTTTTGTTTTGAAGATTTTATCTTTTTTTTTTTTTTGACAGAAAAAGCGAGCACAAGCAGGGGGAGCAGCAGGCAGAGGGAGGGGAGAAGCAGGCTCCCCGCTGAGCAGGGAGCTCGATTCCAGGACCCAGGGATAATGACCTGAGCCGAAGGCAGCCACTTAATGACTTAGCCACCCAGGCGCGCCCAACCAAGTGGGTTTTTATCACAACAAAGCAAATTTAGTTTAACATACAAAAATCAATATAATTCACTATGTTCACAGACTAATGGGGAAAAAAAAATATGATCATTTAAATAGATGAAGAAACATTTTACACAATTCAACAAGCATTCATATATATTTTTTAAATCTCAACTAACTAGAAATAAAAAGGAACATCCTTAATATGAAAAAAGACACTTCAAAACCCTACAGTGAATATTAATGGTGAAAAACTAAATGATTCTACCTAAGATCAATAATAAGGCAAGGATGTCTGCTCTCATCACTTCTATTCAACATTGTACTGGGGATTCTAAACAGAGGATTAAGGCAAGATTAAGATTATGGCAGACTGAAAAGAAGTAAAATCATCTTTATTCAGAGGATATGATCATATATGTAGAAAATCCTAAGGAATCTACAGAACTAGGAGAATGAGTAGATTTAGCAACGTTGCAATATACAAGATCAATATATAAAATCAATTGTATTTCGGTATGTAAGCAACACACAATAAAAATGAAGTTTTTAAAGATACCATTTATAGTAGAATCGATAGATATTAAAATACTTAGGAATAAATGTAATAAAAGATGTTCAAGGCCTGTACACTAAAAACAACAAACATGCTGAGAGAAATTAAAGAGAACCTCAATAAAAAGAAAAAATATGCCACATTCATGTACTGGAAAAACTTGGCATTTTTATAAATTCCTCCCCAAACTGATCTATACATTCAATACAATCCCAATCAAAATCCCAGAAGGCTTTTGATAAATTGACAAGAACGAACCCTGAAATGCAAAGGTCCTGAAATAGCCCATTTTTAAAAAGAACAAAGTTGGAAGACTTACACCTGATTTCAAGACTTACAATAAAGCTATAAGATCAAGAGACTAGAATGTTGATATATGGATAAACACACAGATTAGGGGCCGGCAAAATTTTTCCATAAAGGGCCTGATAGTAGATATTTTCAGCTTTGTAGGACACAGTCTGTCAAAACTACTCAAATCTGCCTCTGTTGTTGCAGCCATAGGTAGCCTAAATGAATGGGCATGGTCATATGCTAATAAAACTTTGTTTACAAAATAGGCCCTGAGCCATATTTGGCTTGTAGAGGTTAGTTTGCAGACCCCTGATATAAATCAGTAAATAAGACAGAGTCTAAAAATATACCCATACTCATAGTGAATTAATTTTCAACACAGATGCAGAAATAATTCAGTGAAGGAAAAGGACAGTCTTTTAAGCATAAGCTTAAAAAACTGGGTATCGGGGCGCCTGGGTGGCTCAGTTGTTAAGCATCTGCCTTCGGCTCAGGTCATGATCCCAGCGTCCCGGGAATGAGCCCCACATAGGGCTCCCTTCTCTGCGGGAAGCCTGCTTCTCCCTCTCCCATTCCCCCTGCTTGTGCTCCTTCTCTCGCTGTCAAAAATAAATAAAATCTTAAAAAAAAAAACCAAAACCTGGGTATCTACAAATAAATTTTTACTATATATCACACCATACAAACAATTTATTTTACTTTTTTTAAGTGGGCTCCACACCCAGCACGGAGCCTAACAGAGGGCTTGAACTCACAACCCTGAGATCAAGACCTGAGCTGAGATCAAAAGTCGGATGCTTACTGACTGAGCCACCCAGACGAGCCCCCCCAAAATTAATTTCATATGGATCATAAATCTAAACCATAAGAGCTAAAGCTATAAATCTAGTGAAAGAAAAAAACAGGTGAAAATCTTTGTAACCTTGGATTAGGCAAAAATTTGTTAAGATAGGATATAAACAGCATAAACCATTAAGTAAAATATTGCTGTTAGACTATTTTCAAAATTAGAAGCTTTTGTTCTTCAAAGATATTTTTAAAAATGAAAAGACACTGGAAAACAGTATGGAGATTCCTCAAAAAGTTAAAAATAGAGCTACCCTACAATCCAGCAACTGCACTACTAGGTATTTACCTAGTGGTCCAAAGAGTCACATGCACCCCAATGTTTCTAGCAGCAAGGTCTACAATAGCCAAACTATGGAAAAGAACAATGTCCATCCATAGATGAATGGATATAGATGATGTAGTGTGTATACACACACATACAAATAAAATACCACTCAGCCATCAAAAAAAAATGAAATCTTACCATTTGTAAATGACGTGGACGGAACTAGAGAGTATTATGCTAAGTGAAGCCAATCAGAGAAAGACAAATTATATGATTTCACTCATATGTGGAATTTAAGAAACGAAGGATCATAGGAAAAGGGAGGGAAAAATAAAATAAGACAAAATCAGAAAGGGAGACAAACCATAAGAGATTCTTAAGTACAGGAAACAAACTGAGGGTTGCTGGAGGGGAGGGCGGTGGGGGGATGGGGTAACTGGGTGATGGGCATTAAGGAGAGCACGTGATGTAATGAGCCCTGGGTGTTATATGCAAATGATGGATCCATCACTGAACTCTACCTCTGAAACGAATAATAGACTATGTAAATAAACTGAATTAAAATTTAAAAATAAAAATGAAAAGGCAAGCTACGTTTTGGGAGAAAATATTTCCAAGACATATGAAAAAGGAATTGTATTTAGAATATATAAAGAACTCTTAAAACCAAATAAAACCAATAAAGATAACCCAATTAAAAAACAGGTAAAGATCTCAACACTTCACAAAAGAATATATACGAATGGGGGCACCTGGCTGGCTCAGTCGGTAGAACATGCGACTCGCAATCATCAGGGTCATGAGTTTAAGCCTCATGTTGGACAGTTTTAAGTATATATACTTAAAGAATAAATACATTTGTGAATGGCCTATAAGCATATGAAAAGATGCCCAGCACCACTAGTCATCAGGGACAATTAAAACTTAAACCACAATAACACTGCACATTCACCAGCATGACTGAAATTAAAACCCAATAATACCAAGTACTAATGAGGCTACAGGGCAATTGGAATGCTCATACACTGCTAGTGGGAATGCAAAATGGTACAGCCACTTTGAAAAACAATTTAGCTATTTCTTAAAAACATATCCATCATATAAGAAAGCGATTCCATTACTAGGAATCTACTTGAGAGAAATGAAAACCTATGTCTACAAAAAGACAAAAGAATGTTCATTGCATTATTCATAGCAAAACACTAGAAATAATCCATATGTACACATCAGCTGGTAAAATGATTAATGTCCAACCAGTGAATGGGTAAATTCTGCATGACTGCATTTGTATGAAATGCTAGAAAAAGTAAAACTATATAGTAGCAGAAGGTGTATCAGTGATTGTCTGGGACTGGAGGTAGTTGATGGAGTTGACTAAAATCAAGCATGAAGGAACTTTGTGCAGTAATGGAAACACTCTACAGTTTGAATATAATGGTACAGAACTATATATATTTACCAAAATCCATCAAATTGCACTTAAAATAGGTGGGCTTTATTACATGTAAACTGTATCTCGAGAAAGCTGTTAAAGAGAAAAAAAATCAACCAGAAATTTTAACCACGGATATAAGAATGGAAAATTTCATCTGTAAAGTAAAACTCAGCTGGTTTTGCTAATGTCATCCCGTGAGAATAGAGATGAGATCCTATGTCAGCAAATTTTTACCTATATAAATGACCATTAAATGAAGTAACCTTGAAACAGAGTTAAGTCATTATCACTGAAAGCAAAACTGATATACATGAAAAATTCAAGTCAATTTAGGTTTGAGAAGAGATACAGCAATCAGAAGTTCCTCCTAAGCATGTGAAAAGAGTACAGAAGATATGTGAAATAACAACATATTGCAGGACTGGGTAAGTGAATGATATGGCTAGAGC